TCTCTCTTTTTTTTTTTTTTTTTTTTTTTTTTTTTTTTTGATTTGATTTTCCCGGGCATTGAACTCAGGATCTTGTGCTTGAGAGGCAGAGGCAGACAGTGGCACCACTGAGTTAAATCCCTGGCCCTTATTTTCATTGTTGAGTTAGGGTCTTGCTAAATTGCCCAGTCTTGCCTCAAATTTGTGATCCACCTGTCTCAGCCTCATGAGTGGGTGGAATTACAGGCACGTTCCACTGTGCCCTACCTTGAGAACTAATTTTTTATTATGCTAAATCACAACATTTTGGGATGTTTGTTTGTTTGTTTGACACAGGGTCTGGCTATATAGTTCAGGCTGGCCTTGCACTCACAGCGATCCTCCTGCCTCAGCCTCCCAAGTGCTAGGATTACAGATGTGTGGCACTATGCCCATCTTAAAGTTTTGGGATTGTTACTGCAGCACACCTTGCCTATCTTGAATGACAAACTCAGTGAAGCAAAAATGAACCAGTGCCTCTACTCTTAACAATATACAGGAAGCTACAACAACTGCAATAAAAAATTAAAAGCAAGCAAAGGGTTTAAAGATTGGAAAGGACAAAGCTAAAGTGCCATTGTTTGTAGCACTGATTATCTGCCAAGGAAACCCAAGGCAACAGGGGGTGAATTCAGAAGAGTGGTTGGACACAGACCAATCTTAGCAAGTCAGTCGCTTTTCTACCTCTCAGCTGCAGCAACTTGCAAATGTCATAATAGAGTGGGCGCAGAGGAAAGCAGTCTTAGCTCTTTGGGAGGCTGAGGCAGGAGGATCCCTTGAACCCATGAGTTTCAGAACAGCCTGGGCAACATAGCAAGACTCTTATCTCAGAAAAAGACAAAAGTGAAAAAAATATAGCAATAATTTGAAAATTCTGTTTACCATAGTAACAAAAACTACTAAACCCTTAGGAATAAATTAACTTGAAATATATAAGAACTTCGTGATAAAAAAATCCCAAAAAAGGATTGAAAACCCCCCAAAAAGGAGTGATGTGTATGCTCAAGAATGGGATGGCAAGTACTGTTAGGGTGTCAAATTCTCCTAAAATTAATGTAAGATCCTAGTGCAGCCAGGTATGGTGGTGCTTACTTGTAATTCCAGCACTTGGGAGGCTGAGGCAGGAAGATCGCCTCGAGTTCTGGTCAGCCTGGGCTACACAGTGAATTAAAGACAGCCTGAATTACATAGCCAGACTGTCTCAAAAACAGCAACAACATCTTCCACAACAACAAATTGCAATGCAATCCCAATCAAAATATCAAAAGGACTCTTTGTACAACTTGACAGGATGCTTCTAAAATCCATATGTGGCTACCAGCAAATCTTGATTCAGTTTGACACTGTACTGAATTTCATTTCAAAGGATGAGATCATGCTTTTCCCATGATCTCATTATTTAAACTATGAAATAATTCTTAAAGTTGCCATCAGTTTTGATAGTCTGCTGTGAAATGCATAGATATGTATATGGTCAAGTTTTTATTGTGGTCTAATGATGAAATACAAAATTAGAGATTTAATGTTTTAAAACAATTTTCCAAGTCTGATTTTATCTTTTATCATAGTACTTTTTTTTTTCAGTACTGGGGGTTGAACTCAGGGCATGTTAGGCAAGTACCTACCACCAAGCTACATCCCCAGCCCTTACAACAGTATGTTGTTTTACAGTCAGTAATATAAAATAATTAAGTTCCTATAAATAAATGCATGTTTATTTCCTACTTGCTTAGGGAGTACCATAAAGTTTTATTGTTACCTAGCAATTCTAATTATCTGCTTTAATAATTTAACTGACTATAGATTTTTTCCTATGCCATATCCACGTCACTTCAGAGCTTAGCAAATGACCCTTTTCTGCTGTATTTTATTTTTTTGGTACCAGGGATCGAACTCAGAACCTTGCGCTTGTGAGGCAGGAGGCAGAACCACTGAGCTAAATCCCCAGCCCTCTGCTGTATTTTAAAGAGCAGATATATTAGTAATAACTGTAAATAAATAATTTAAAGTCCAGGTTAAAAAAATTAAATTAATATGTCCACTCATTCATTCAACAAAATGTATGGGGATGCCATGCCCTACTATGGGTCTGAACCCCCCTTACTTGCTGGGATACAATAAACAGAGCAGAATTCCTCTTTTTGCTCTCTCTTTCTCTTTTTTTCTGAGGTAGGGTCTCACTATATAGTTCAGGCTGACCTCGAACTCATGAGGATCCTCCTGCCTCAGCTTCCCAAGTGCTGGGATTACAGGCGTGTGCCACCACACCCAGATCAAGAATTCCTGCTCTCATGAGGCTTTCATTCTTCCTAAAGAGAAATGAAAATAAACAAATATTTATATTTATATCTCATAGTAATTTTACAGTGCACATAGTAGGCAACAATAACCCCTTGGAAAAGAATAGAAGGTGGGCTTAGGAGCTAGCTTTACCGGATCTAAATAAATATTATAAAGCTATGGTTTTAAAACAAAGGCATTGCTGTAAACAAAAAAGTGAAAGAATAGAAGAAGTCCAGAACAAAGTCATGTTTGTAGAAGGTTCTGACATAGATGAAGTACTTCAAACCTTTGGAGTAAGAATGAATTCTTCAGTCAACAAAAGGCCAATAACATGTCAATAATAAGTCAGTACATATCAGTTATAACCATCAATGTCAATGGCCTCAACTCACCAATCAAGAGAAATAGACTGGCAGAATGGAATAAGAAGCAAAATCCAACAATATGTTGTATACAAGAAACACACCTAGCCTGAAAGTGAAAGGATGGAAAACAATTCTCCATGAGACAGGAGCCCAGAAAAAAGCAGGGGCAGCAATCTTATTTGCAGACAAAGCAAATTTCAAACCAAAATTAGTTCTAGTATTATTGATGTAGGACGGTACTGTATCATACCTCTGTGAATGTAAAATATCTTGTACCTGCTTTATGATACGTAGTAGTGACCATGCTTTATCAGAGCTATATTTAATGATATTACTCTAGAATGTTCTCTTTCCAGATGATGATTAAGATGCTAATAAAAAAAATGGTGCCACCAGGTGTAACAATTCCCAATTTGAAACTATACTACAAAGCCACTGTGATAAAAACAGCATGGTACTGGCAAAGAAATAGATCTGAGGATCAGTGGAACAGACTGGAAGACACAAAAACAAATGCAGATGTACTCAGCTACCTCATCTTTGACAAAGGAGCTCACCATCCTCAGTGGAGGAAAGATAGCCTCTTTAATAAATGGTGTTGGAAAAACTGGATGTCAACCTGCCACAGATTAAAATTAGACCCTTATCTTTCGCCATGCACTAAATTAAAATCCAAATGGATTAAAGATCTAAATATTAAAACAGAAACATTAAACTTGCTGGAAGGTAAGTTAGGCAGAA